AGTCACATTCTTTCACCAAAGGCAGAGTTAGTTTATTAAGAAAAAAATAAGTAAATTCGGGAGTACGTTTTATGAACTGGGGAGAAAAATTAGTATGATCTTGAAGTAGGATTATGAAACTGCCACACATCAGCCACACCATAAGATTCAAGGAATGGATTGATTGATTGAACGTACTTAGTCAGGGTAGATTCTCCCATCAAACAACGGTCAAGAGATGAAAGCACACAATTTGTGTCACCACCAATTATAAGGTTATGTGTTGACATATTTGGTATGTTTGAAAAGAGGTTATTAAAAAATGTAGTTGTCCCAGATGGGAGCATATTAGAGGATGACACGGGAGTGGATTTTCACTCCTGTCCTGTCCTGGTCCCACAGAAAAAAATCCTGTCCTTTTCCACTCCTGGTAGCATGACGTCTGCTCCTGTCCTGCTCCTGTTCAGAATCACTCCCACTCCTGTCCTGTTCCTGTTTTACATTTAATTTGAGGAAATACATTGAATTTGATTTGATCTTCTACCCATTCCAGTTTAAATTACTTTGTGTTCTGCAGTTTTATTTCAAAAGATATGGCAACAGAAACAGTTCATCTGTGGTGAAACAGAGAGGCATTTATTGTCTTCATCCAAATAAAAACCTTCACTAAAGGGCACAAAACAAATCCATGGTCTGTAGTCCCTATAATTTTTCTACAGAGAATCAGCTGCTGAGTCCCTGTTTCTGGCTCTTTTGAAGGTCAGTTACAATAAAAACTAAAATCAAAACAAGTACACGGATCACACCATGTCTACCTTCGATGAAAGAACCCAAACATAACAAGTTGCATTTTACTAATTTATTGAACAATTGTTTCCTTTAAACAGTGACATCACCTGGGCTGGATTTTAGCAGGGGCTTACCGGGGCTGCAGCCCGGGGCCCCGGCATTTCGGGGGCCCCGAAGGATGTTTTGTGTTTTTGTGAATGGATAGTGTCAGAATTTAATCAATGACTACGATGATTTTGACAGCACCGATGAAAAATGTTCCAATTTGTTCTGGCAAACGTCCATCTTGAATGCTTGCTTGTTATTGGTCCACTTTTGACGCATCTTACGCATTGGGGATTAGCATCAGGGAATATTATTTTACAATGGCGGACAACAGAAAATATGACAGCGGAGCGCAGAGAAGAAGGAAGAGAAAAGAAAAAGAGCATCGCGACAAAGAGGCGACAAACAAAATGCCTAAACTGACAGGCTTTTTTAAACCTGTTAGCGGAGATGGAGCAGAAACATCTTTACCCCCCGCTCCTCAAACCCTCAGCTTTGCTAACACCGGCACTACGATCCCGCCAGAACCTTTAACTGTGACTGAGTCGGTGGCTGGACTGGCGTCTGTGGAGTCAGAGTCGGTGGAAGCGGGATCTTCTTCGGCAGATGGAAAGACGACTGTGGATCCGTACAGTACCGATCCTGCGCATTGGGGGGAAATTGACGAGTCCATGCAGGCTTACTGGGCTGAGCGAGGACCGGAGAGTTGTCAAAATATGAATGTTAGCTTTCAAGCATCGGAACGGGTGTACAAGCATCAAAAGCGTCACTTCTCCAGGTAAATCCACAACGATTGGAAGTGTTGATTAATCAGCATACAGAGGGGTACCCTTGGATTGAACTGAAGAAGCGGCCACTGGATGAAGAGTGGAGACCAACGTCAGGATTGCAGGTCGCCTCCAGCGAAGGTTGTCTCC